CAGCTGCTGCAAACCAGCTGCACGAGAAAGCAACAGCAGCAGCAGCAGCAGCAGCAGCAGCAGCAGCAGGCCGAGAGGACGCCCTCCTGCTGTAGCGGGGTGGAGAATGCGCGAGCTCGACTGCTGCTGCTGCTTTTGCTGCGGTGGCACTTACACGCAGTGCTGCTGGAGCTGCTGGAGAGTGGCGACCAGGGCAGCAGCACCAGCGTTTTATCGGTTGCAGCGGAGGATTCAAGCTTATGGACGGGTTTACTGTTGAGGGGAAATGATCTTTTCGCCACAGTCGGGGGACCTTGCACGCAGGGGGGGCCTTTCCTTACCAGAGGTCTCTCCACAATCTCTCTGAAGGGTTCTCAGCAACAGTCTCTGCGAACAATGCAGTCCAGCGCGTCTGTATCACGGATGCTGCTGCAGCAGCTGCGGCACCAGCCCCTCTTAGGCCACGAGAGTGCGTGCCCGTTCCCGCTCTCCCGGCTGCAGAAAGAAGTCGCCCAGCTCCTGTACATAATTTTGTTTGCTGCTGCAGCGCTGCTGCCGCTGCCGTATCTCGAGGAAGCTCAAAACACGCTTCGCTCAGTCTCCAAGAAGCCCTTCGACGAGGAGGACGGGATTCTAGCAGAGGGCCAAGGCGCCTCTGGGGAAGGTGAGACTCTCGCCTGTGCTCGAAGTGCTGCACTCTTAGAGCCGACAGCTTCCACTTTCGCTGCAGCCTTGTCACAGCAACAGCAGGAGCAGCAGCAGAAACAGCAGCAGGAGCAGCAGCAGAAACAGCAGCAGGAGCAGCAGCAGGAGCAGCAGCAGAAACAGCAGCAGAAACAGCGCGTGGCGCAGCCACGTTCCAGAAGAAGCAGCGAAGGCAACAGTGCGGACTCTCACGGATACAGGGATGGCAGCAACGCAGGAAAAATTGGTGGCACTGAAGAAAATCGCAAGCTTGAGGGCCCATGGGAGCGCCTGTCTGTCTTCAGCGAGGCGCTGTCGGTTGCAGACACGCTGCTCCCCGAAACATTTCTTTGCAAAAGCCGAGCAACAGGAGCAGGAGGAGGTGGTCACCATGAAGACCTTCTGGACGTCTTGGGGAGCACCGCCTTGCGGTGTACATACACTCCATGTCCTCTTCTCTGCCGAGCAGCCCACGAACTGGGGACCTTCGCGACTGCAGCTGCAGCCGAGCGAGTAAGACTTCTTGATGGAGGCCTCTCCTGCGCTGCCGCCTTGAGAGCCACCCGCCGCTACTGCTGCTGCTGCTGTTGCTGCTGCTTTCGCTGCTGGGGAGTGTGCGGCTGTTCGCTGCGGAGGAGAAGCAAGCTGTGCTTCTGCAAGACAGAATGCTGATCTTTGACTCCAGAGAAGCTCCTGTCCGTTCCCTACAAATCGTATGCTTTCGAGGGAACGGGGTTCGCGTGCTCCTGCTGCTTTTCCTGCGTGGAAGAGTTTTTTGCAGCGTCGGTGCAGCGGCTGATGCGCGTTTTTTGCGTATGTATATATATACATATATATATATGTACGAATGTATGTATGTATGTCTGTGTGTATGTGTATATGTACATATATATATATGTATGTATATATATATGTATATATATGTATGCATATATATATGTATGCATGTATGTATGCATGTATGTATGCATGTGCTGCTGCTGCAGCTCCTGAGGCATCTAGAACTGAAGTTTAAGGGGTCTCTGCAGCTGCCGGCCCGACTGGGCGGTCCTTTGGAGGGGGCGACAGACACTTGCGAGGGGAGGTTTGGTTCCAGTGGCTCTCCCGATATATACAAGCAACTGGAGGCGACGGGGGTGCTTGATGAGAATCAGGATTGCGATCACTGGTCCGAGACGTTTTTGCTTCTTGGAGCGTGCTTGTTTCGATGCTTGCATCCCCTCCCCTTTGCTTTGCGCCTGCCCTCTTGCCGAGCTCTGTGGGCATGGAGCGCAGCGGCTTTTTGACTTTAGGGGGTCTTTTTTCGAGCGTGCGTGTGCATGTGTGTGTATGTGTATTTGCTTACTTTTAGGCAATGGCGTTTGATCCTAGAGCAACTGCTCGAGGGCGTCGGCGGTTCTCGACTGCTGCTTCAGCAAGGCCCCCCTGGACCGCCTCAGCTCTTCCTGGAGCGATGCATTTCTTGCTTTTTTCCCTCCTCCTCAGGGCTGGTGGCTTTGCTGAAGGGGCCTCAAGGGATGTATCTTCAGCCGACAGCGCGTGCCCTCGCCGTGGTTCTGCTGGTTCTGTTGCCGCATGCTCTGGAGAATTCGCTGACCCCCCCCAAGCCGTGCACTGCTGCCTACGAGGCGGCTCGCTCAGCAGCTCCGGAGCGCGTGGCGTTAGCAGCGGGGGGGGCGCACGGAGGCATGCACAGGCTGTTTGGGCTGAGGTGTCTCTTGGGGGAAATAGCTGAATTTCTGCTCTATACCGCGCGGCGTGACGGCAACAAACGCGGCACGCCTTCGGCCTCCGTGTGGATTGGCAGCTGCAGCACAGAGTGCACCGTGCAGTCCTGCCGGAAGGGCAGCTGCAGCTACCGAAGCACCTACAGCGGGAGCAACTCTACCACCGACAGTGGCAATCTGTACAGCAGGAGCACCGTGCGGAGCGTGACAACTGGGGGCCACCCCAAAATGGTGGAAAGTTGGTCTCCTGAGGCTTCCACCACGCTTTTTTCGAAAGTGCAACTGGACGCAGGGGACCAGCAGCGAGCTCTTTTTGCGGTGTATGGAGAGTTCGTTGGAATCCTAAGCAGGCGACGTCTTGGCGTGCAGCTGCTGCAGCAAGAAGGTCTCCTGCGGTTGCTGCTGCTCTTGTCAGCTGCCGGCTCTCCTGGCACGGCTGCGTTGGCGACTCTCGTCCCTCAGCTGTCGCTAGAGTTTGACGCGAACAGGGAAGTTGTCGCGGAGGCGCTCCAGCATGGCGCTCCCGAGCTTCAGCTGGCTATTCTTGCGCATTGGAGCTGCCAGCCGTCCTGCTGCTGCATGCAGCAGCAGCAGGCGCAGACTCCGGAGTGGCACTGGAAGCTACAGCAGTTAGTGGGCCTGCAGCAAATGGACGGGCAGATACATCTCCATGTCGTGGTGTCTCAGCAGGTGCTGCTGCTGCAGCAGCAGCTGCTGCTGCGGCACGGCGCAGCAGCAGTCGAGTGCGTGTTGCAGCAGCAGTCCGTGCTAGCCGCCGCCGGCGCCTCAGCGAAGATCCCCGAATCCCTCAAGCTGCTGCTGCTGCGGAGCAAGGAGGGCGTTCGGCAGCTAGCGGCAGAGGGCTGGGTGCAGCTGCAGCTGCGGCAGCAGTCCTTGCTTTTGTGGGGAGGGGAGGGAGACGCTTCTCCGGCTCCAACGGCCTCTGCTCAAAGCCGCGCATCTGAGCACCGGGAGAAGGGGGAGCGGCAGCCTTTGCCTCCTGAGGAGGCGCTGCAGCGGGGAGGCTTGGCAAGAATCTTCTGTGGACTTCCCGACGAGGTGCGCGCGTGTTTTCTGCGTTCAGGGCAGAGAGAGGCCTCTTGGGCACAGTTTAGACGGGGAGATGCGCATGCATGTTGGAGGTTGAGCGTTGCTCGTGTGAGTTGCAGGCTTTGAAGAATAGTGGCGTCTGGCCAGTCGACTCAGCGCTTGTAGGAGACACTCTGAACGCCGCAGTCGGGCTGCCGCACAGCGCAGGAGGAAGCGACGCAGTGGCGATGGCAGCAGGCAAGCTGAATGCAGCTCTCATTGCAGGTGGGCCCTTTGACTGGAGAGCTCCTTGTTTTTCGCCTCTGACTCCAGGAGGACGGCATCGGCAGCTGCCCTGGCCAAAGAAGGCTGCCGGATGCGGCTGCGCAGGAGACGCTCACTGCTCCGCGGCTTGCAGGAGCAGCAGCTCCTGCAGCTGCGGCAGCTGCTGCTCCTGCAGCAGCGAGTGGGCCTGGCTGGCCTGCGTTCCCTGGGAAATTTCCCTGCAGCTCGTTGATTTCGGCACGCAAGCGCTCAAGCAGAAGCCCCCCGAAGCAGCAGCAGCAGCAACGGCAGCAGCAACGGCAGCAGCAACGGCAGCAGCAACAGCAGCAGCAACAGCAGCAGGCGCGCTGGCGAGCGATCAGCAGCAGCACGCGGAGCAGCAGGCATCGACGGACTCCCACACGTCCAGGAAAGGGCCACTCGTGCTGCAGGAGTTCGCTCTTTCCGCCGTTGCCTCTCGATGCGTGGGAGACTGGGTGTCTCAGGCCTTCTATTCGCAGCAGCATCGAGAGCAGCCGCAACATGGCGGGGTTCCCTGCCGTGCGGCGTCGTCGGCTGAAAACAGCGAGCACGGCAACAGTTTCTGTCCAAAGGCTGGCGAGACAGCGACTGCTGCTGCAAGCGCCAGCAGAAGCTGCGCCCTCAGCCCTATCCCAGGGCTCCCCCCTTCCCTCTGCGGAGTTGTTGAGGGGAACTCCATAGCTACGGACTGGCTGCTTTCCGCCGTTTGCAACATTCCACTCTCTCCCCACCTGCGGGGGCATGCGGAGCCACCAGCAAGCCACGACGTCCAGGCAACAGACGGTGGAGCAGCAGACGCGGCCTCAGAAGGAGCAGCAGCAGCAGCAACAGGAGGAGCAGCAGCAGGAGGAGGAGGAGCAGCAACAGGAGGAGGAGCAGCAGCAGGAGGAGGAGCAACAGGAGGAGCAACAGCAACAGGAGGAGGAGCAGCAACAGGAGGAGCAACAGCAACAGGAGCAGCAACAGCAACAGGAGCAACAACAGCAACAGGAGGAGCAACAACAGCAACAGGAGGAGCAACAACAGCAACAGGAGCCACAGAAACAGCAACAGGAGGAGCAACAACAGCAACAGGAGGAGCAACAACAGCAACAGGAGGAGCAACAACAGCAACAGGAGCAACAACAGCAACAGGAGCAGCAACAACAGCAACAGGAGCAGCAACAACAGCAACAGGAGCAACAACAGCAACAGGAGCAACAACAGCAGCAGGCGGAGAGTCTGAAGAAATGGAAGGTTTAGATGAGGAGTTACAAGATATGTGGTCCTGGAGCACTACCTCCTGGTGGCTGCCAGAGAGGCCAAAGTTGGAGCGACCTCAAACGGATCTTGGATTGCGCGCTGTGGTGAAGGTGAAGGGATTTGCTGCAGGGCCCCATGGGCATTTGGTAGAGCCGTCTGCGCAGGCGGCGTTTGCCGTGTTGCGATGGTCAGAAGACGGAGAGGAGCTGCAGCAGCAGCTGCAGCAGCAGCGCGAAAGCGGCCATCTCTGGCGCTGCAGCCTTCGAGCAGGGGGGGGGGGCCTCTTTCGAAGGCGGGAGGTCGCCTCTCCTCGCTTCCTCGAGCAGGCTCTTCGCAGACGCGGGAAGGCGTCCTTAAGTCTCCGCAAGGAAGCGCAGGCAGCGATGCAGGGCTCACCACGCTTCAAGACGAAGACGCTTGTTTGCCAGTGTACTTACAGCGCGGGAGTTACCGCTGGACCATGTGCTGCCACCTCGCGCCGTCTTCGCAGGCGTGCCAGCAGCAGCAGCAGAGTGGAGCGTCCCGTGTGCCTCTTTCTTTTGTTCATATGGTATCCGTAGTCGCGGAAATACAGCATGGTCGGGGATTTCTGAAGCGCACAGTTCCTCCAGCTTCCGTGGCAACTACGCTTGCGCGGACCGAAGAAGGTAGGGGAGCGAGAAGGGCGGTGTTTTTTCCCTTGGGAAGAGAAGGAGGAGGCCTTTTCTGAGTGTGGGCTTTCTTCCGGGTGGCTACGCTCTCCCCTGCTCGTAGGCGTAGGGCTGGTCGTGGCCTCTTCTTGGGGTACTGCAGTTGCGCCGTGTTGTCGTGCGTGCGTGCTTGCTGCGCGTGGTGTCTGGACTGCAGGTCGAGCTGTGCTGCGCGAGAACCCCTTCTTTCTTCCCGGGTTGTGGAAGGCTCTGGTAAGAGGGGGTTCCCTCGAGCTTTCGGCAGGCAAAAGTTCACCAGACGCTGCAGCAGCCGCGGCTGCTGCAGCGTGGCTAGCTGTCCAGCTGGCGGCGAGTTGCGGATCTCTGGAGAACGTCAGACAGCTGGATCCCCCCGAAACCGTCCTGCAGCGCCCCCCCCCCCAAGGGCGGTATCTGGAGAGGCCTCCGTGGCTGCTTCACCAGGTGTGGTGGCTGGCAGCCACTGCGGCAGATCCAGCCGTTAGCACTGCAGCTGCTGCAGCACTTGCCGCGCTTCCGCCAGATTGCGAGTCCGCTAGAGCGTGCTTGTCTTTCGGAAAAGGCCCCCTTGTGCCTGGTCTGGACGTGCCGCCTGCGCCTGTGGGCTGGCCGTTTTTGACAGGCAGAGGCGTCTCAAGAGGAGCGGCAGAGGACAGGCTGCACGGCAAGAAGAGTCACGCGCGAGGCTGTGAGTCGGGCTGCATGCGCAGTCGAGGGCTCGGCTTCGCCTTGCTGTCGCGAGAACTGTCTCTGAACCAGTGAGTTACAGATTTGCATGCTGCGTTCTCTTCCGCTTGTCTTCTCTGCCAGCGCCAGCATGTTCTGCCCAGAAGATGATGGTGCTGCTTGGCCTTAGCCAGTCGGCTAGCGCTTGGCGTTGCTGTGCAGCCGCGCGCTGTGTGCAACCTCGTTTGCTCTGCTTGCTCGCAGAGTGATCTGGGGACCTCCCCTCGTGCCTGCCATCAGGGGGCGGGGGGGGGCTGCATGCAGAGGCGGCTCCGGAGAACGCCGCTCGGAGGCAAACGTGCGACGCAGCTTGCTGGCACCTTGGGCTTCCTCTGACTGGGAGCTGTGGTCTATGTCCTCCCTGCAGAGCAGCAGCGATAGTGAAGTGCGCAGATGCTGCTGCGCCGTGGAAGCGGGGGGGCACACACAGCACACTTGTAGAGGCCTTCGGCGTTCAGCTCTGCCCGTGGCAGGAGGAGCTGCACAGCAGCAGCAGCAGCAGCAGGAGCAGCACCAGCAGCCAGACCTTCAGGTGGTCCAGCAGCCGCTGTCTGACGACAGCGATCCGGCGGAGGAAGAGGAAGAGCAGGAGCAGGAGCAAGAGCAGGAGCAAGAGCAGGAGCGGCTCCTGCAACAGCAGGAGAAAATGCATCAGGAACGCTTGCAGCAAAGGCAGCAGCATGCACTTCAACGGGCCGTGTCTCTCCCATGTGCTATCGCAGGAGGCCCTTTAGGATCGACTTCGAGGCGCATTAACAGAGCCTCCGCGTGTGAAGCGTTTGGAGCGATTCACTTCCACGTGCTGCAACAGGTACACGTCGAAGAGGCTGCAGCAGGGCATGCTGCGGCTGATGCTGCAGGAGCAGCAGCAGCTGATGCTGATGCTGATGCTGCAGCTGCTCCTGTTGTGCTCTGACACACAACTGCTGCTGTGATGAACTTCTGTCTGCTGCTGCAGCTGGCGCTCCTGCGGAACACTGTGGCAGTGAAGACCGAAGGGACGGTAGCAACGCTGCGCAAGATGCGGTAGGCGACAACAATCGAGGGGGTGTCAAACAGCCCCTCGCGTGTTGTGCTCTTGCTGTGTGTTCACCATGCGGGGCATGAGGGGTTGCTTTCTACAATTTGGTTTGTCTGGAATCAGCGCTTTGGCCGGCTTTCCTTGGTCCGCCTCCTACCCAGGCGGTTGTGATGCTGTTGCTTGAACCTGCCAATGCTGCCCCTCCCAGGGGTTATACATATACATGTATTTATGATCACGATAAAGATGTGACGCCTCGCGTTTCGAACTTCAAAACAAGCGATTAACTAGTGATTTTGGCTGGTGCGTGGGGTGTTTGTCCAGCAAAGAGCTACCTGCAGTCTTCCTGTCTGTCGAGCTATGGTATCGTGCGCAACTTCTCAACGACGCACTCCCTTCTTCCCCAGATATTCTGTAAGTTCTGAGCCCTTGTTTTCTTGAGACCTTCTTGTACCAGCGTCAACTTCCCCTCGGTTTATTTATTTATTTCTTTCTCTTTGCCTCTCTCTCTCAGTCATGAATCATGATGGCTACCAGGGTTCAGGGGTCGTGCGAAACCTGTGATATGCATGCGCAACAACGTACACAGGCACTTTTGCCGCTTCTTGTTTTCGGAAACGCTCAAGACACCCGAATCTCTCTCGCATCTCGACAAAGTTGCGGCAGCAGCACAGCAGCGGCAGTACATGCAGCTGCAGCACCAGCGCCAAGAGCCGCAACAACAATAGCAGAGGCGACAGCAACAATCGCACCAGAAACGGGACCGGTGGCGGCATAGTAGGAACACACGTATGAAAATATTTTGGAGGTTTCTGCTGCTTTGTGTTAGTGCCGCACAGCATGCGGCCCTCTGAGGCTGTCTCCTCAGGAGCCGCAGCAGCAGCAGCAACACCAACAACAGCAGCTACAGCAGCAGCGACACTCCATACACTCACCTTTTTGGCAGGCAAAGCCGTAGCGGCTTTTATGCGTTTCTTGGGCAGAGACTCCGAATCTTCTGGACTTTATGATACCCAGGGAGGCATCTTACAGGGGATCAAGGACATAGAATCAGCAGCACATGCTGCTGTATCTTCCTACGTATTCATGTATCTCGCATTTAGCCTTCAGGCCCAGATTAATGGTGTAATCACTCTTGATTTGCTTGGACGGGAGGCCCTGTACGAGTAGGCATTTGCAGTGGCAGTAAAAGCAGCAACAACAAGAACTGCCACTGCAGCAACAACCCCAGATGCAGCACATACCAAATTCGCTACGCATGCCGTTGCCTCACGTGGCTTCTTTTTCAAACAGGGGCACGCTTCCCTGCATCGCATAACCAGCCGTACGAAGTTCCGAACAGTAATAGGTGTTTCTCGACAAGGTACTGTAACAATTCGTTCTGCGGCAGCTTAGTGCATAGTTCGCCAGAAATAGGAGAAAGAAATGATGGGAGGCGAAGGGATCTGCGTTCGTGCATGCATACGCAACACAAGAGTCGTATCCGCATGGCCCCTTTGGCCATGGCAAGAAGGAACAATGAAGGGCAAGCAGCGCCCGATCATTGCCATAGAAAAATGCTTCTTCAGTCGGCGCCAAAGCCTTTGTATTCAAATGCGATCGCTGCAAGTCTTCAGGTATCTCGTGACTCGCCTTCCACAGCAGCATGGGTTAGGTTCTTAGGAGAAACGCTCGTCCCCCTACGCTGGTTGCCTTTCTTTGACGAAGCCGATGCAAAACAGGGATTCTGCTGCTGTCCTTTGCTGAAAGCATTCAGTGGCGCTTTACAAAGCTTTTTATGAAGCGTTTCGACGGGGGTGTTGGATTTTCAGCGGCGGAAGTAGAGGGGGGCGGCTTTGAGTTCTGGCCTATTGTCGGGCTGCCTTCTCGAAGCCTCCAGGCAGCACCTGCCTCCGAATCTTCCTGCGCTTTTTGGCAGTGAAATAATCCCTTCTACCCTTTTAAATCATATATTTAAGCCTAAAAAGCGTTAAACGCTGTGGTTCAGGGAGTACGAAGTAGCTTTTGCGCGCAGATGTGTGCCGCCGACTGGTCCCGACTGCACGTGGGCCTGGTAGGGGAGATATGCGCCTTCTTGGGGGATACTGCCTCCCTTGTCTCCTTTGCTACAACGGTAAGAATGGATTGACTTAGAGAGCTTGATCTTTGACTCCACCCAGCCTGTAGAACCCTGTGCCCAGAATCGAAGATTTAGTGTTTGAAGCCACACATAGGGCTGCACCTGTCATGTAAGCCGTCCTCCATCGGATTTGCCGAGTTCCTTGGGAAAATTCCCTCTTCCATGAGAGCCCTGAAGGCTACTCCGCCGCTGGGGCCTCTCTTAGGTCCGCCTAGCCTTTTGGCTAGCCACCGATAGCGGCTTTTATCCTACGGCCATTAGAAAACCAGTGGCGAGGGGTTCTGAGGCTTTCTGGCTAAAGAGTTTCCTCCACCGTTTCCTGATGTTCTTCATTCTAAAAGGATCCTCAGCGCAGCGCTAAACGTGTTCTCGCTCGTTTTCATGGTTGAGATGAGCAATAATTCCCTCCTGGGGCGCCTGCGACAGTGCGTGTGTGTAGGTTGCGTGTGCATGCATGTGCACCTCAGTGTTCTCAATGGCGTGACGCTGCAGGGCAGGCACTGGGATGCTCTTTCTTTTGGAAGCGTCTAGAGTTCTTCTGCATCAACGCAGCCAAACGCCGGACAAGAAGCGCCCTTCTAAGAAGAGATGCCAACAAATGGGGCAGCTGCTGCCTTCTGAAAGAACACGAAGAAGCCTCCAGAGCGGAGTGTTGGCAGCAGTCCAGAGAACCGGCTCACGCGGATCAAAAGACACAGGCTATGAAGACTCCACCCACGTGGGGCCCCGCGCCAGAGACTACGCTGCTGCAGCCTCTCGAACTTCTCAGGCTACTTCCCCAACTGCAGTAAGCCTCCGAAAAGCCTCTTCCCTAAGATTGAAGCCAGACATCTCTACACCCCTCAACTGGGTCGTTGCCGCGCGATTCCAGAGCAGCCGTGCTTTTAAGTGCTTGCTTGATGCCGTCCATCATCCACTCGCGGGGGCATGGCGCACGCCATGCAGTGCGCCTTGCCCCCCACCCCTCCTTGGAAGCCTGCTCACACCTTGCCCACTAGCTAGCTGCGAGGGTATCCAGCTGCAAAGCACCCAATAAGGCTGCTGCTACTCAGAGCGCTCTAAACAAGGCCCGCCCTCCTTGTTCCCTCATCGACTTGTTGGGTCTCTCGAGGTCCTCCTTTGCACTGTGCTACTGCGTCTTGTTCGAAGCGCTTTCAGCACCACTGATTCTTCTTGAACCTATTCAGTGTGCTTGTCTTGCTTTTTCCCCAGCCGCGCATCCGTTTCTTCTCGTCTGCCTGCCGTTGTTGTGCATAGGCGCTTGAGCCTGCAGGTGCCTTCCCAGGCTCCTGAGCTTGCCGGATTTCTGGGGCTTTTCTTTCTGCGAGAAGTGGAGCTGACTACCCGTCGAGGCTTCACGAATGCCGAGATGCAGCAGCTCTGCCAGCAGATGCCTCAGTTGGAGACGCTCGACATCCGCATTCGAACGAGAAGAGTTCCACACACAAACGACTCCACGGGGGAAAGTGTGGCGAGGCACTCAGTCTTCAGAAGACCTGAAGGCGGCCCTCAGAGACGGCCGCCTACAGGAGAGGAAGCCTCGGCGAGAACTCCCAACTTAAAAGGCATTAAGAGATACTTGAAGCTGTGGACGGAGGTTAAGCGGATTGCAGTCAGCTACGACAACACTACAGCGAATCTGGAGGCTCCCGACGGCGGCCCTAGTGCCGTGGTGTACGCCAGGAAGTGCACACAGGAGACAGAACGGACTCCTCTCTCAGAAGTCACTTGTCGCAGTGCCTCTTATCAAGGTGCAAGAGGCCCTGAAGTATCACTCTCTCCAGTCTAGTAGCGCCCGCGAAACCCTGCGCTATAACTCTGACGTTTCCCGTGAAACGCACTTTGTATTTTTAAAACCACACTGTCAAATTTAGAACACACTACCGTACCACCTGGGTGTGCCCTCCTTAGCGAGCTAACTAGCTAGATGTCTGTTGTCTCATCCTATTTCGCTACGGCTGCTGACAAAGAGTATCGGGCAAAGAGATCCCCAGCCGGCTGGCATGGCAGAGGTCCCTGGAGCGACGGCGTTCGTCAGTCGCTCCAAAGACATCAAGCACGTATTCAAAACATTGAAAACTCACAATGTCGCATACGTTTACTAAGGCCCATGAGCCACCGTGGCTAGTAGTAAGAGGTCCTTTGAAGGTGGTGTCTTCTAGTCAAAGAGGTCCTCGCTGAAGGCGGCCCCCGTTGCAAACACGTCGAAAGCGCGCGCGCCTCAAAGGCGTCCTTGAAATAAAAGTCGGATGCTTCTTTCTCTAAGCGTGAGGTGACATACTGCGGGTTTTCTTTTAATCGAAAGGACTTACCCCCGATGACTTAGCTGATTCAAATTCGTCTGCAAAAAAAAGCACAAGAAACGGAAGAACCCCATGAGGATGAGCTGCTAAGCGTGCAAACTTCGACCCTAGAAAAGGATCCGTCAAGCACCCAAACCCTAGGATCTTTAAAGACGGCTTTCGGCAGATTAGCCCCAAACCACTGCAGAGAGAGGAAAATGTACCGGAAGCACCATTGCCGGAGCTCCTCTGACTGCTGCTGATGGCGCTGTACAACAAAAAATCGCAAGAAACAAAAATGGAGACACTTGGCGAGCAGCCGGGGTAGCAACACGATCAGCAAAAGGAATCTACGAGGAGCAGTTGGTACCAGTGCGGCTGCAGACAGGCATCTACAAAGTGAGACCGGCATAAGCAGCAGAGACACTTGCATACTGATCAAGGTGCTTTCTTTTATTGACCCTGGTTTTGAGGTTCCCTTCAGTGTCTTCTATCGAATCCTCATCGTTGCCGCTGTTGCTGCTTCTCCCACTACTAATGCAATGGACGCCTTCTTGGGGGGGGGGGGGGGATCCTGAAGGGCCCCCAAGAAGCCTCGCCGACCGTCGCACGCTACCCTCCTGCAGCTGCTGTTGATGCTGCTCTTCCCGCTGCAACAGCCCTTGCTGCCGCTCCAGCTCCCTCTGCTGCAGCAGCAGCCGCTGCTTTGCCTCCAGCAGCGCCAGGGGAAAAGTTAGTAGCGGCGACTCCTGCGGCAACGAAGAAGCGCAAAGCTCTGAATCAGCGGCATTTACTCCAGGAGACAAACACGTTAAAGAGCATCAGGCCTTCAGCACGTGAGAAACCTGCAGAGCAACTGCAGGGACTCATGCATGCATACCAGGTTGCTTTGCTGCTCCCGCTGCTGCAGCAACACCGCGTCATTAGCTTCCTTAAGCGATGCATGCAGCGCCTCAGCCCTCCGCTGCTTGCAGATTGACTGCGCTGCCGACGGTTCACTTTTGACTACACCTGCAAGAGGAACAGCCGCAGCAGCAGCCGCTGCTGCCTCGATGCGCCGCAACGCCCCCTCTGCCGCTTTCAGAGCCAGACGCTTGGATATTAGGGGTCCTGACGCTTTCCGCATGCCGTCAACAATAGATTCTGCAGACAAAAAATCGCACAGCCCAAGGAGCGCAAGCCGCATACGAAGGCCCTAAGAATGCCCGTTGGAGAAATTCCACTGGCTTCACATTGCCTAAACTGTGCTTGCCGCGCGAGTTTCGAGTTTTGTGTTTACTCAGGATGCGTTGAGCGACGAGGAGCAGACATTCGACAGTTTCTGGATCCTCTTTGAGGTGCAGCTGAAACAGCGACTGCTGAGGCTGCTGATCCTGCTGTTGCAGCTGCTGCAGTGCCGTCTGACTGCTGGCTGTGCTGCACTGCCTCGAATCCTGAGCTCCTCCTGCAAGCGCTGTTGCTGCCGTTGCTGCTGCCGCTGCCGCGGCGGGAGCGTCTAGCCACAGCGAGACGACTGCAGGCAGGAGGTCCAGAAACTTGGTGCTTTGCTGCAGCAGCAGCAACGGCTGCAGCAGATCTTCCGTTTGCAGCAGGAGGAGGAAAAGCGTCTCTACAAAGGCAGCAGAAGACTGCGCTAGGGCTTCATTCGGAGGGGCATCTCCTTTTTCTCCCGTAGGAATTCCTCGAAGGGCGGGAGGCGCAGCCTCGGCCACAGATAGCTGTCTCAAGGAGCTAAAGCAGAAGACAAGCAGCTTGCGCAATCCCCTCAACATCTGAGGCAGAGGGGGCACCATGTCTCTCGATTCGTCTGCTGTTTGAACTGCGGATGCGGCAGCAGCGGCGAGGTCTTGCAGCGCGTCCGATTTGTCCACCTGAGCCTTCGCAGCCGCTGCAGCCTGCGCTATTTGGAGACTCGCCGACGCATCGGCATGCTTGTGCTGCAGCTGCTGTTGGAGCTGCTGCTGCAGCAGCTGCAGCGTGAAGACGCCACGAAAGCCACGCCGCAGCATGCGCTGCGTCGCAGCCGCAAGCGCCACTACGGCAGTTGCACGCGGACTCTCTGGTCCCCCCCCTGGGAGGGACGGAGAGAGGCAGAGCGACAGACAGCACGATACGAAGCTCTTGTCTTCTGGAGAGAGGCCTCCCAGGGTTGGCGACATGATCTGCAGCGCTCACAGAAGCCGCGTGTGAGGAGCAGCAGCAAATGCAGCTCCTTAAAATCCGAAAAAACAGCGGTTCTGTAGTGGGGAAAAGAAGTTGGTGGGCTGTAGAAAGCAAGAAATGCTTTTCATGCAGAAAAAGCGGCTAGACGCGCACTACTCACGTATTTCACGTGCTCTCTGTACTGGTTCTGCAGTACGGGCTGTAAGTACAGGAACTCGAGCAGAATTTCCAGACGTTCTCCGAAAATCAGCTGCGCCTTTTCCGCATCCTCCCGTTCATCCCCGTTCTGCTTCTCTTGCGCGAGGCTTAACAGCAGCAACTTCATGAGGACGCGCAAGGCGAAAGACTGCAGTCGCTTCGTGGCTGCTTCCGACGCGGTGACAATCTGCCACAAGAGGTCGAGGAGACTCTCGCCTCGACCCGCTGAAGCGACGTTCTCCTCACCGCCTTCCAGCTCGTGAGGATGAGACTCCTGCTGCTGCTGCTGCTCCTGCTGCGGCCGTTGCCTACTCATTTCGCGGCGTAGCATGGTGGTGTGACAAAGCAGCAGATCTCCCAGGAAGCACACGTACAGCTCACACCTTTGCGTATGTCCAGCGAAGTCTCGCTCGTACTGCAGAAGCAGCAGCAGCAGCACAAATGGCATAAATATAATCGGCCGTTCACGAAGAAGCCCTATCAAGGGTGGCATGCCTGCTTTGCCGTTGAGCTGTCTGCCTCGCTGCATTGTCAAAAAAAGCGCGACAATCCATCATCTCAAACTCCGATCCACAGGGTCGTTTTGTGCATCCTATTTTCGGAGTCTCACCTGTTTCGACTGTACCGTTGCATCGTGAAGCTTCTCCGTTGCCTCGGCGGCTGCTGCTTGCGCTTTCTCGATCTGCTGCTGCAGGTGAGCCTGCTGTCGCTTCGAATTTTGCTCCTCTGTCGGCTGCTGTTCAAGCAGCTGCTGCAGCTGAGCACGCAAGCGCTGCTCCAGTGCGCTGTGATGGCTGCGGTGCAGCTGCAGCAGCTGAACCTCGTGCTGCAGCTGCTGCAGCGCAGTCGCGGCCGTTTGCATCTGCTCCAGAGACGTCAGCAATGTGGCTTTGTAGGCCCTTAGCTGATTCGTGATTTCCTGCTCTCTGCTGCTCAAAAGGCAGAAGCAACCGAGGCTCTTGCTGACGAGCTGCAGCGAAAAGGTATCGCAGGCACCGCAGGCACGCAAGGAAGCGCTATCTCATTCTCTCACATTTCAGCCCGAATCGCTCCCGTTCTAACATCTCTACTGCTTTATCTTTCTACCAAGAGAGCCTAAAAGAGTGAGACACACACACACACACACACACACTCACACACACAGAGGGATGCTCAACGGACAAAATTGACTTACGACTTCGCATAAATCATTGTGCAGCTCGTGCCTTGGCAACACGCGGTACAGACAATCCCGCCGCATCCTACTGTCCCTTTGCCAGCACTCAACATCCCCGCTGCTGCTGCTGCTGCTGCTGCTGCTGCTGCCGAATCCAAGGCATGCGTTGCAGCAGCAGCAGCGAGCTGCAAGCCCCTCCTCATCGCCGCAGAAGAATTGCAGCGCTGGAAGCAGAAGGGACAGTGGAATATCTGTGAGAGCGCCATCAGCATCCGGACTGCTGCTGCTTCTCGCAAAGTAGGCGTCCAGTGCAGCGACAACTCGTAGCCAACGCTGCGGAGACACACACACAATGCGCGGCAGCAAAGTCGCAGCCTTCTCAATAAGAAGCCTTGAGAGCCTCCTGGCTGCTGGCCGTATTGCGTAGCAAGTTTTGCATGCAGGCTCTAGGGCTGGTGGGAAAAACATGGGGATGCGCCGCTGCCATACCTGGTGCAACTCGCTAGTAATCACGAGGTACACAGGCGCAAGGCGGCCATATGTTTGTTGGCTGTTTTTGATTTGCTGTTGCAGCGCGTGGAGCACTTGCGCATCGCCTTGTTGCTTCGGCTTCTTCTTCTTCTGCTGCTGCTGCTGCTGCTGCTGTTGCAGCAGCTCCGCAAGCTCCACGGCCTTCTGCTGCAGCGCAACCAGCTTGTGCTGCAGCAGCTCCTGCTGCTGCTGCAGCAGTTGGGTGCTACAGAGACGAGGACTGAAGGCGAAAGGGTCGCCTTCAGCGGCCGAACAAATTTCCTGCAGCACCTCTTCGTCCTTTCCAGCTGCAGCAGCAGCAGCAGCAGCAGCAGGCTCAACGCAAGCAAGCGGCAATACATATACGCAGTTCGCTCTGCTACGCACAAAGAGGCGGCGGTCTTTGCGCCGTCTCTCGCGCGTGTGCTGCAGACGAAGACGCCACATGCAGCCCTTCCGCGAGGCAACGACGCCCTTTTCTCAACTCCAAAAAGCCTCTTCTGCTCTAGCTCCCAAGCAGCAGCAGCAGCAGCAGCAGCAGCAGCAGCGGCAGCAGCAGTCTTGATACGCGTGAGTCAGCAGCAGGCGTGCTCCTTCCAAGCGGCACAAGCACACGCATCACCCACGAATGCAGCCCGAACAAAATGCAGTCAGAGACCGTCGCCATACTTTCGAGGGGTTCATGCAACTCCGCGAGAGTCGCGCATATTTTGGCGGTAAAGGCGCACTCCGCTTCCTGGTGGTGAGGCTGCTGTCGTTGTTGCAACTGCTGCAGCAGCTGCACAGCCGCGGCAGTTGCAGTGTTGCCAAGCCAGTAAGCTGGCCAAAGAGAATATCCGCCTGAACAGACACTGCTTTCGCGCCGTCCAGGCAACGGGTAGATACTTTGCTCCGGAGGATTCAAGTTGCGAACCAGCAATCGGCGCACATCCACTGCAGCAGCACGCAGCAGAAATGCAGTAGATCCGGTAAGCCGCAAGGCCTTTCCCGAGGCGCAACTTTTTTTTCGGATCCGCAACTTCGCCCAACCCCCTCGCTGCGCAACGAGGGAGGCGCTGGATGCGGCACGCAACGGCAGGGCGCCAAGAGAACCTCCGCTTGCAGAAGAAGAACGCAGCTCCCGCAAGACGCGGAGGCGAGCCTTAACAACCCTCCAATCTACGGCTTACCTAGCGGGGCAGCCGAGAGAGTTTGCTCGCAGGCGTCCTCGAGAAGGCGGTCTGTCTCTTGCGTAGATACACCCGAACAAGACGCCAGCAACAGCAGCTGACGCACGCAGCCCAGCAGCGTCAGCTGGTGCTGCAAAACACAGCAGGCGCCTTTCCCCAAAACACGAAAGTAGATCTTCACACCCCCCTAGACGCCTGTAATAGCGCCAGCCGACGAAGCGACTAAAACGGTGCCCGTGAGCCTAACCAAACCCCCAACAACACAGCACCCCCATCACCGTCCGAAAGAGCAGCTCAAACGCACAGTTTCAGCTTCTCTTCGCGCCTCCACAAGAGCCGCTTCGCACGCAGCTCCAGGAGGAGCTGCCGCCGCCGCCATCTGCTGCAGCAGCTGCTGCTCCTGCTGCTCTACCTGCTGAGCTGCCCCCAACAGCCGCATCAGCAGCGCGTGCAACTCCGTAAGGTCGATGCTGCTCCTGCTCGCACTCGCAAGCCGCAACGGCAAGAGCGGCAACCGTGCAAAACACCTCGCGAAAAAAAATCCGTAGCCAAGAAGACTTGTTCACGCTCAAAACGCAATCGAGACGAGACCTTAAGGCCCTACTTCTCTGCGGGTGTCGCCAGATGCTCGGCAAAGACGCGAAGGAGGAAAACAGCCCCAGGCGTGAAGTCGGAGAGACAATTAGTTCCGCGACTTTCCAGCAAACACCGTATGCCTTCAGCTGCACCTCAAAGGCCGCAGCAGCACACGCCAAAAAGCAAAGGCGCATGTTAGTTTGAGCTGCACACACCGCAAGGGGGCTGCCCATCGCCAGCAGCAACGACTCCCAACACAGCAGCAACACACACAACAACACCTTCCACAGCAGCACCAGCACCATCGATACCTTCATTAGAAGACGCGAGGAGGAGTTCCTTAACTGCAAGCTCAATCGCTCCCTCTCCTGCTGGCAGACACTCCGACAAATCCTCAATGAGGCCTACGAGGCCCCCGCACTTTGCCATAAAGTCTCGTTGCTGCTGCTCTTTCTGCTGTTGTTGCTGCTCTTGTTGCTGCTCTTGTTGCTGCTCTTGCTGCTGCTCTTGCTGCTGCTCTTGCTGCTGCTCTAGCCGCTGTTGCTGCTTCAGCAACAGCTCCCGCTGCTGTACCCAGGAGCGGAGCATTTTGAGGCAGCTGTCGCGGACGGAGGCCGCGCGATCGTTTAAGCCGACGAGCGCCAACTCCACCCTTTTATCCGGACTGATCAAAGCCTCGCATCTGCGCAAGAGGCATAAATATATACATATATATATGCCCCAAAATTTCGCACAATGAAAGGTGTGCATGCGATCCGTGAAAAAGGCTGCAGGGGAAGGGGGTCGGTTGGGGTCGTGAAAGTGGATTGCGCGAAGGACGCGCCGAGGAGAAGCCGAGACGCTGAGATACTTTTGACATTCAGCACGGGCGTACAACGGCAACACACAGCTAGCCGTGAAGTGGGAAGATGAGGTGCACCTTCGACGGGAGACACGAGTGGGGGAACAGCGGCGGCAGAACGGGGGCAAAAATGAGATGGGGAGGGCTGGCTGCTGCTGCTGCTGGGCATCTCTTTTATCAAGACTGCGACTGTGTGTTCTCTTACGTGGCAAGTCTCCTGTACAAGGCTGCTCGGACTTCAGCGGCACAGTCAAAGGCTCGCGTCAACAGCTCCTGCAAGGCTGCGGCAGTCAGTAATTCGCTTTCTTGCTGCTGCTGCAAAGCTGCAGCAGTCGGTAGCAGCAGTCGGCTGACTGCAGCGCGACGAACTGCAGGGGCCTCGTCAGTCAAGGACTGGAGAAATACGGCATGCACAGTAGCATCCTGCAGCACCGCGCAAATGCTTCTCACATAGCCTGCTTATCCTTGGCTCCGAATGCCTCGTCTATGGCCTCCTTGCCTTCTGCCCCCTAGCTCGAAGTGAGACGAAAGCAGTGGCTTAAAGGGCTTGAACTCGGCATCTGTTGCGGCGTCTAGCCCCCTCTTCCCCCTCCCTCCTTTTCAACCCCACAGACGCAGTACGTCGGCGGCTTGCATCTCGGTCAGAGAAGCGCTTTCGTGCATTGTGTTCGCATGGCAAAATTCAGAAGGTGAGACGGGAAGGGGGGAAGAAGGAGGGTAAACTTGCTTCTTGAAAGGGATCCAACAGCAAGAGGGCAAGCCTCCTTTGCTGGGGATCTCGCCCCTGCTGCATGAAGGCCAAACACTGCTGCACATGGCGCTGCAACAGCGCAGCTCGGGTGTTCAGACCGCAGCCTCCTGCTTGCAGCTGCTGCTGCAGCAGCTGCAGCAGCTGCAGCAGCAAGCAGGCAGTACCCAGTCGCACTGCTCGCTGTTTCGCCATCAGCAGAGGCAACAATCGCTTCCAGAGAGCCTGAAAGACACCATCACCCCCAGCAGCCACATCAACACACTCAACAGAGACGTAGCCTGTACTGTATGTATATTTCTTAGATATCTCTGCGTCTGCGGAGTCAGCAACTGTCAGGAAATGCAGCCCAGCAGGTGATGGTGATGCGCACAGCCCTTACATGCAGGAGCGGCATGTTTTGTCCTCGAGACGCCTCTTGCTGCTGGCTTGTCTGCTGCTTTGCGTCTTCGTGTGCTTCGGCAGGGGTGTTGCAAAGTTGATCCCCACCGCTGGCGCTGCTGCTGCTGCAAGCGCGAGCAGCAGCAGCAGCAGCATCAGCATCAGCATCAGCATCAGTGGCAGCAGCAGCAGCATCACCACGAAGCTCATCTGTCCGGAGGAGCACTTGCAGTGGCAACGCAGCAAGGCGCTGCCCCTCCCGTTGAGATAGGCGGGGAAGTACCAAAGCCAAACGGAAACAAAAACGAGTCACACACTCTGTCAAATGGTTCACATCGACTTCGCTGGTGTCATTGCTGCTGCTTTTGCTGCTGCTTTTGCTGCGTTGGCTGCGCTTGCACGGTGCCCCCGCAGTTGCTGCCTGCTGCAGCAAGCCCGATAGCCGCCTTAAAGCCACAGCAAGAGACAAGTCGCGGTGTATGTACAGCTTGAACGTTCCCAGCAGCAACTGGACCCAAGAGGGGAGGCGTTCTGTGGGGCCAACAGACTCTTCATCTCCAGCGCGCGAAGACGCAGCAGCAGCACCACCTTTCACACGCTGCAGCTTCACTTGCTGCTGAGGCTGTATCGCTTCTTCATACTTCACGAGCACAGAGCCTACGGTGTTGCTGCCGCTGCTGCTGCTCTTGCTGCTAGCGCCCTCGTCACTGCTTGAAAAGCTGCTATTCCGCCTGCTGCTGCTGCCCGATAGCAAAGGCTTCTGCCGCTCTGCTGCGGCCACTTTTCCTGCTTGCTTTGCTGCTGCTGCTCCTGTAGCAGCGACCCCCCACTTCCAGTGCTTGCTGTACCTTCTCACGGTGCCCCTCAGGCGACAAACAAACATTGAGCTGAAAGCATAGGCCGCACTTTGTATACGTTCCACCCGAAGGAGCTGCGAGCTTCTGGCCTCGTTGTCACGCAAGGCGTGACTCGACGAAGAGGGGAGACTACGGGGAGGCGGGCTGCTTCTGTTGCACTGCAGCAGTACTCCCCAAGACTTGTAACGGTTTCACTGGAAATCTCGAGAGAGAGAGCGAGGAAGCACTCGAAGCGCAGTACGCATGCGACAACTCCGTGCAGCCTAGCGGCCTCTAGTAGACCGTCCAGAGAGGGTAGGGCCCCTGGAGGGGGGTGTTCTAAGCGACCACTGCCAATTTGCGGCTCCCCGGATCGGTGGAAGTGTTATTTATCAGCGCCCTCTCGCTACTTGAATCAAGAAGGATCTTGAAGTCTAAGGCGTAAAGTTCTACAGATTATTGAAGACGCCATCCATGCGAGGCGGGGACTAAGAAGCCTGGGGGGCAGCTGGTCAGGAAGGGCCCCTGAGGAAGGAGGGGGGGTTGTTGGGGTGGTTGGGGCGGTGGGGTCGTTGGTGGCTAGAGCACCCTGGCACTACGAAGCACTTCGAGAATTGTATAGTTTCTTTAAAATACTGCAGAAACTGCTTTAAACGAAAAATGAAGTACATATATATATGGCGGTAAAAAGCCGCACTCCCACGGTGTACACCCACGCTTACAAGAAAACACCCCCATGCTTACAAGTAAACATCGCGGCGCTGTTGTTGCGCGCAACAACAGCAATGGAGGTGTCAACCCCAATGAGGAGCCTTGAGGCTCCTCTTAGGCCTCCTTGATAGGCGACGTTCCAGCAGCAGCCACTGCCGCTCGCGCTGCTGCTGAGACAGCTGCAGTCGTTCCCAGAGCAGGGAACACCCACGCCAGCTCCGCGTGGCCCCCCAGAAGACAAATCAAAAGGGGGTGCCCATAAATACAGATAGCAGCCAATCTACTTCCTCTATAGGTAGCCAGGAAGGGGCGGCAGCAGCACCACCCCCCTCGCATCTAAAAACACGATGACTGTTGACAGACAGAGGCCGCAGTTCCTCCTGCTGCGCTGTCGCTTCACTTTCCAGTGGACGCGCCCTCCCGACCTGCTGCTGCCTGCAGTCGTCGCCAGGCAGCCACTGTCTTGGCGCGCTGCCACTCGTGCTGCAGCAGCAACAGCCTGCCCACCTCCCCAAGCCTTCCCCTCCGTTTGCTGCCCCCTCCACTGCCAAGAGCTGCAGCTGCCACAGCTCTAGGAGAGCCTCCCATGTCCTCGAGCAGCAAAAGCAGCAGCGTGGGATGCGCTACGCTGCAGCAGCCGCCGCTGCGAGCCATCCGTCGCAGCAGCCGTCGGTACAGAATTATCACACGCGACCGCTCTACTACCGAGTCTTTCGTAAGGTGCATGCGCCTCCTCTGCGCGCCACTATAAACCTCCAGCGGGGACGCTGCAGCCGCCACTGCAGCCGCCGCTGCAGCAGGAAGCTCCCCCGTGCAAGTCTCGCCGGCAGGAGGCGCCTGGCGCAGCCCTCCGGATTCGTTGCTGCTCTCCGTGGACAGTCTGCTAGGTGTCGTCTGCGTGGGAACTCTCCTTCTCCTAAACGCAGAAATCGAGGCGATACTACTGGGTGGCTGGAGAGTGCTGCTGCTGCTACTACTGCTGCTACTACTACTGCTACTACTACTGCTACTAGTATTGCTGGTGCTGCCGGCCTTGCTCCGCGTCCTTAATCCTAAGATACGGCGCGTAGGGTGTAACAGAGCCGAGCAAACACTTGCGCTTCCCGCAGAGAACATCTGCAGCAAACTGCCCCCCCAAGACGTAGCTCTGCTGCCTCTTGTCGGAGGAGACTCGCCAGCAGAGACTGCTCGGTTTGCCGCTGCACCGTTCGCAGCAAGCGTTCCCGTTGCACTGCTGGTGGTAATCCTGGGAGGCTCAGCTGGTGGCGAGGCAGCAGCCGCAAACGCCGTCGAGACTGCTGCTGCAGAAGCAGAGGCAGCAGCAGCAGCAGCAGCCGCCCCCCTCAAAGAAACCTCTGTAGCGGCATTCGCAGCGGCGGGGAGATGCCTCAAGGCGTGCCTCGTTGCACTAGAGGCCTCAAAACTGCAGCGTGGAACGGCCTGACGCGGATGCGCCTCTGCTTTACGGCGTGTAAGCCAACCAGCAGCATCTTCCTCAGCAGAAACACCTCGAATTGCTGGAAAAGAGGCTGCTGAGGCCATGTTCTCGGGTTCCTCCCCAACCACAACACACGATGCCCCCGTCTTCACAGCTTTTCTCGAGTCGGGGGGTCCAACTTGACTGACGCAACACTGCTGCCATGGCTCCTTCACTGCGGCTGCACAGTCCTCCGCTGGCTGCTGCTTGCGCCTTTTCCTAGGAGGCCGACCATCAACTACCCCCCCAGCAGAATGCATTGGAACTGATGCCTCTGTAGTAGTAGTAGCCGAAGCGGATGCCTCTGCAGTTGTGGTAGTTGCTGGAACTGATGCCTCTGCAGTTGTACTAGTTGCTGGAACTGATGCCTCTGCAGTTGTACTAGTTGCTGGAACTGATGCCTCTGCAGTTGTAGTAGTAGCTGAAATAGATGCCGCTGTAGTTGTAGTAGTAGCTGAAATAGATGCCGCTGTAGTCGTAGTAGCTGGTGCAACAGGATGGCGAGCAGCGGGGAGACAGCGCGGTGTAGCTGCATCACGATGGAGGCCACCCCACGCTGCAGCAGCCGCTGCTGCAGCTGAGCGAGCGATCCTTCGATCGGGAGAGATCGACGAGGAAACCCCCACCTGCTTCGCTTCTGCATTTGCTTCTGTGCATGCAGCAGCTGCCTGCCCCCTCCTGCTGCACGGCCTGCTCGAACGCAGCTGCGGCTGTGGTGCTACAGCAAGCCTTCTGCGAGACAGCAAACCACGATACCCCTCCCGCTGCCAGCATTGGCTGCTGCTGCTGCTGCTGCTGCTGCTGCTACTATCGCCAAACTCCTTAGAGGTGCAGCAGTAGCGGCGGCTGCTGCTGCTGCTGCTACAAGTCTCTTCACATACACCCGAACATCCCTCGGGGGTAGGAGAAGAAACTTCACTGCAGTCACAGGTACTGCCACTGCTGCTGCGAATGCTGCTGTTTCTCGCATGGGGTGTGCTGCTGCGGCTGCGACTGCTGCTGCTGTTGAGATCTATGGTAATGCAAACATCGTCTAGTCCGCTTCCCTCGGCGTCTGAGCTGCTGCTTCTGCTGCTGCTGCTGCAAGAACCGATATGACTACCTGAGTGCCGCGTCGCTGCTTTCCTGCAGCCGCTCACAGCTGCAACAGAGATATCTGATGGAGAAGCAGCTTCTGTCGCTGCTTTTTCACGTCCTCCTGCGCCTCCTGCTGCTGCAGCTCGGCTCCGCAGACTTCGCAGCCGGTACGGAGAGGCCTCCATCTGAAGACCATGAAGACTTGCCCGCTGTCAGTTGAGGCAGCTGCAGCAAGCCTAAGCCTGCTACTGCAGTGTGTAATAGAGGGCTGCGGCTCGCTCCTGCTGCTGCTGCAGTGCAGGGAGCCTGCCCTGCTGCAGATCTTTTACAAGCGTGGAGAAAACTTGCCGACAATAAACACTTCCGACGACACCGCTCTTGCTGCTGCTCTACAGGATACCACCATACAGCGATTGATCCCCCCAGTATCTCAGGCTTCACGACATTTCGCCTTTCTGTCAGCTCAAACTTGCGTTTCTTGAGACGGAAGTACGCCCAGCAGATCGGCAGGAACTGCAGATGGCCACCCTGCTGCGCACTGCTTTTCGCGCAGCCTTGCTGCTGCTGCCTGTGTAGTCGTAAGAGCCGCTGCCGCAGCTGCAGTGCCGTAAACAAGAAAATAAACGGGTTCAAAGCGCAGTTGCTGCATCCAATGTTTATCCAAAAGTGTCAATTCCGAGAAATTCCGCTTGTTTAGTGCAAGTCCCTTTCCACCCGCTCGCCTACACCAGCCGCAGCTGCTTCTGCTGCTCCTCCAGCCCACACCACGAGAACGGCCAAGTGTAACAACGCGTGCAGGGGATGCCGCGCTGCAACTGCTGCTTCGACAAAGCAATTCGGCGGTCACGCTTTTAGAAACTTGAGCCATAAAAGCTCAAATAGAGCAACTAACGCAGCAATTGCCGCGCGATAAATAGCTATCGCCGATACGCCAAAGCTCCTCCACTCCTGTGGCCGCTGCTACACAGGCACTGCTGCTACGGCTGCTGCTACGGCTGCTGCTGCTGTTGAGGCGAGGCTGGTTGTGTGGCTGTGATTTGCCCTTTACGCGCGGCACCTCTGGTACCAAATGGGAAATTATTTTCTCTGGCGTGAACTTCAGTGCGCTCGGAGAGTATTTAAGGTGTGTACTGGCCCTCTAGCGTCTGTTGCCTGTGTGCCGCTGTTGCAGTGCATGCACTCTCGGCGGATTGCAAATCTATAAAATGCAGCATGGGACAGAGACACTGTGGGCCCTGTGGCAAGAGGGCGCCTTTCTTCGTCATTAGCTGCTGCTCGCGTGCTCATGCAGTTGCTAGGCGTGTTATTGCTGCGTAATGGTGTGGCTGCGTAGGTTCCTGTGCAGCAGCATGCATGCGCTTGTTTCACATGTGGCCAAGGGACCTGAGCGACGGCTGTTCCTACACTTGCGCTGCGCGTGTGCTGCAGCAGCAGCAGCAGTCGAATGCTGCTTGCGAGGTGGCCGTCAAGCAGTGCCCCATGTCTTGTACTCTCGCTAGTCATTAGGCAGCTCTGGTTGCTGTGGGTGTTGCTGCTGCTACACTTAATGCTTGCAGGCGCCTACACCCGCAGAGTCTCTCAGCTCTTTCTGTTTCCATCACTCCACAATAGGCAGAACCCCCAGCAGCTGCATCTGCAGGTTCAGCAGCAGCCGCCGCTGCCCTCCCTGCGGCAAACCAGCAATTGCGCGTTTGGGCAGCTGTCCATACACCGTGGCTGTCTTTCAGACAAAGCCGTCGCATCCCCTCCCCCCCGCCGACTTCTTTACGTTGCTTTCAAGAGGGGAGCAGGCGCAGAGACTTCCTCAACGAACAGTGCCACAATGAAGCGCACAGAAGGGACGCCTGCTGCGTCGGGGAACTGCCCGCCTCCCCCCGAGCCGAAGGAGCTTTCCCCCGAGGAGCAGAAGCTCAAGGCAGAACGGGAAGCTCGAAAGAAGGCCAAGGAGGAGGAGAAGGCGGCAAAGGAGGCCGCCAAACTCGCAAAGAAGCAAGCGCAAGGTCAAGTGCTACACCCGAACCCTGTCCCTCAAGACAGCGTGCCTTTGAACACGCAGGCAGCCACCAACCAAGCGGGAGAGAGAGCGACTGAGCGTTGTGTCAGTGCGTAGCCTTGCGGTGACCCCACTGCGCGTGTAGGAGGAGCAGTATTCTTGACCTTGTGGGGGAGGTGAAGGCTTTGACCGTGTTTTTCGCAGAGGCAGCGGCTGCGGTGCTCGTCAAAGAGTCCTCTGACTTCGAGGCAGATAGCTTTGGCTACTGGCCCCTCGTACAATCAGAAGGAGGCCCCTCCTCTGGCCTTAAAGCCGCCGCCAAACGGCAGTGGGTGCCGGTTGGGCAGCTGGACGCGAAGGAAGGCGAGAGTGTCTGGGTCAGAGGACGCCTGCAGGATTCTCGATGCAAGGGTGTGTGTCTCCTGTGAATGAGTGGGCTTGGAGACACTTAGGGAGGTGATGGCTTCAGCAGCGCGCTTGAGAATAGCGTCCTTTTTTCTGCCTCTGGCCTCCCGATATCATCTGGGGCCCTGTCTGTTGCCGTCCATCAACGTGCCTTCCGGGTTGCGTCTTCACCGCACTGCGCATTCCCACTGCTCCTTTCATCTGTCTGTCTGCCGCTGTTTCGAACGCTGTGTCTGGGGGGCTTACAAGAGAGAAAGAACGGGGAAGAGAGACACTGTGGTGGGGTCTGCAGAGAAAGTGGCCTTTGCTTCTGGTGTCATTCCGCCTGTCTTATTGCCGCCTCTCTGAATTTTCTCGTGTGGTGTGCTTCCCGTCTGACAGCGGCGTGACTTATGGTTCAATCCTCCTTCCCCTTCGGGCATCCTTTGCATGCTGCTGCTGCCGCTCCTCCTGCTCCTTTTTCTTTGCACGTTGGCGAGTTCCAGTGGGATGTGTAGGGGCTTTATTTTCACATCATCCGCAGTGGTTTTTGCGTCCACTTTTAACCCATGCATCCTACGTGTGTGTCGTGTCTCTTTCTTTCGGAGTCGTTCCACGGTCTCCGCTTCCCTCCCCCTTTTTTCCATCCTGCTGTATTGCCTGCCTGCTCCCAAAAGGCGTGTGCAGCTCCAGTTTTCTCTTGGCCTTCCTGCTGCCTGACCTCCCTGTGTGTGCTCCGCATCCCCCTGCTGCCCCTCCGTCTATTTCTGGAAGGGGGGAATTAGGCCCTGCAGCTGCCTTTTTAGCCCCCAGCGGAGCATGCGCCTTTCTCGTAGACTCGCTCGCCACCCATGGCCCCTGCATTCGTGGTGGCTTGCCCATGAGGCCTCGTGACTGTTTTTCTTTTGTTGTGCGTAGGGTAGGGAGGGCTTGTGCATTGCGAAGGAGTCTCTTTCCTGCTGCCACGCCCTACTAACGAGTCGTCTCGCCTCTCCCCGCAAAATTTCCCGTGCCTGAATCTCAACTTGTGCGTCTGCAGGGTCGATTGCCTTTGTCACTCTGCGGGAGGGCACCGAAACGGTGCAGTGCGTCTTTGGGGATTCTTGTTCCAAAGATCTGCTGCGATGGCTGGCCGCAGTGCCTGCGGAGTCTCTCATCGACGTCTGGGGACGCATTGTCTCTCCCCAGACCCCTGTGGCGTCCACAACTCAGCGGAAAGAGCTGCAAGGGGAGAAAGTCTTCTGCGTTGTCAAGGCAAAGAAGGAGCTTCCCTTCCAGCTGAAGGACGCGATGCAGCCGGAGGACGAGCAGAAAGAGGTCTGCCGGTGCTAAGCGTTTTGAGGACGTGCCTCCGTTTTTATGAGGGGGGGTAATGGTCCTGTTGCTGCTTCTGCTGCTTGGCGCCTGTTTGTGCTTCCAGCCGGACCTTGGATGTTTGCCGTGCTGCCCGGCTGTCTGTCTGTCTGTCTGTCTCTCCCCAGCGGCTCGATTCTCTTCGTGTAGCGCAGTTTCCTTTGTGTATGTGTGCGTTTGTGCCGCATTTACAGGGCCAGATCCGCGTCCATTTAGAGACGCGGCTGGATAATCGATGCCTCGACTTGCGTGTCTCGGGAACGGCTGCAGTCGCCAGAGTCACCTCCGAGGTGTCTCGATACTGCAGGGATTTCCTCCATCAGCACGGCTTTGTGGAGATTCACACCCCGAAGATTATTGGGGGGGCAAGTGAAGGAGGGGCTAGCTGCTTTCGCGTGCCGTATTTCAACAGAGACGCCTGCCTCGCACAGAGCCCGCAACTGTACAAACAGATGTGCATTGCCGGAGATATGGGCAAGGTCTATGAAATCGGTGAGAGGGGTTGCTGCTGCCTTTCGCGTAGACAGCTTGGCTAGCTCTGGGTGTCGCCTTGCTGCTCGCTGATGCATCTTCTTCCTGTTTCTTTCTAGTCGCATACTACGGCTTTCCCCGACGCGGCGACATGTTCTAGGGCAGTGGCAGTATTCTTCTTCTTGCTGCTGCTGCTGCAGGCCCAGTCTTCCGTGCAGAAAACAGTAACACGCACCGTCACTTGTGTGAGTTTGTTGGCGTTGACTTGGAGATGGAAATCAAGGAGGACTTCTTGGAGGCCGTCGAGGTCATTGACAACCTCTTTAAGAGTATCTTCAAACGGCTCGAGGTCGATGCCGCCAAGGTTTGCTGCTGGAGTGCTTCCGGGCTGTCTGATGCAGCTGCTGCTGCGTACTGCTGTCTGGTTAGGGGCCCCATATGCGGGATTCTCAGCTCCTCTCCGTGTCGTCTTTGGGCATACCGCCTTTTCCTAGCCGTTCAAAGAAGTGAATACACACCCTTTTCTGAGAAGTTCTCCCCGACCTTCTGCTGCTGTTGCTGGTTGCCCTTTTGTTGTGTAGGATTCGGCCTTGATCCGCGCACAGCATGACGTTCCTCCGTTCGTTTTCCTGGAGGAAACCCCGCGCCTCACGTTTGCTGAAGGCATTAAGATGCTGCGAGAAGCAGGCATCGGAGTAGACACCATACCAGAGGACCTTGCGGAATTCGACCTTTCCACTGAGCTGGAAAAGGCCCTCGGACGGCTTGTTCAGGAGAAATACAAGACGGATTACTTCTTTCTTCTGAAGTATCCGGCAAAAGTTCGGCCCTTCTATTCTATGCCCTGCCCCAACGACCCCGTAAGGCTCTTCAGGGTTGCCTGTCCCCTCACCTCGCACGTCCTGTGGGCAGTGATTTATCACGAGGCAGCTACTACCCACCCCTCTCTTTGGCGAGGTAGCCGCGATAGACACGACGTTTGTCGATTAGCTGCAGGAGGCTTCTGGGGAGCGATCCACTTTTCTGCGTCCCTGAGAAGACGCCGCTTCCTGGGGGTCCTTTGTGAAGCAATTTCCGTTGTGGCGCGGTGTGCTTGCCACTCCTAGTGCAACTGGGAGAAGATTGTTTGCTGCACCTGCTGGAATCTGTGTGCGCGTTGTTGCAATCTGCGGGGCTCTTCTCGTAGCTATGTTGGCTGCAGTGAATTCGTATCCCGCAGTGGCCGCGGTGCCCCGCGGTGTATGTACACCTACGCTCTCTCCTATATGCACCTCTGTTGCAGAAATACTCCAACACGTTTGACGTATTCATGCGAGGCGAAGAGATCGCCTCCGGTGCGCAGAGAGTCCATGACGCGGGGCTTCTAAGGCGGCGCTGCGAGGCTTTAGGCGTTCCTTTAGAGCAGCTGAAGAGTTACATCGACGCAATGGATTTGGGAGCTCCGCCGCATGCCGGCATGGGTGCAGGACTCGAACGAATTGTCATGCTGTACTACGGTAAGCCACGCATGCATCGCGGAATAGACTGGACGTGCCGCTAAATATTTATGGGATAGCAGCTTCACGGTGGAGCTGCAACGGTACGGGTTGCCCATTTGCGGGCTGCGTGCAGGCCTTGGAAACATCCGCAGGGTGTCTCTCTTCCCGCGAGACCCTAAGCGCCTTGCCCCCTAGAACAACACTGGCAGAAACCATTGCAATCCTAGTAGCAGCACGCAGGCATCGCGCTTCCCCCCTTCAATGCACTATGATGGCTTAAAAGAGACTTCTGCTCTTCCGTTCACCGCAAGCCTACAAGTTCGCTATTTGGTTGCGCCAGCGGCAACGGGACCTGCTACAGCACGATACGGCACCCATGCTCTTCGAAGAGTTGTTGCAGTGTATGCATTGTGGGAGAGCGCTGTAGAGACTCAGCCCAAGCCTGAAAGCCACACCTCGCAGTACCAACCCTTCAACCTGTATGCAAATTAGGAGGTAGCTTCCCCATAGCTTTAAGACATAAAGGACATCGAAAACTGAGGCCTTCTAGCGGTTTGATGGGCTGCCGCTGTTACTGCGGGCTTTCCCCGCGCAGGATATCTTTCTAATCTAAAGTTTTAGGTTGCCTTCTCTTTTCGCCACTTTGAAAGGAATGCCCCCTACCTGCAGCAGCAGCTCCCTCTCCGTACGCGTCTGCCTGCTGCAGGCCCCATTATGCTAGCGGCGTCTTTGAGCCTTCGTATGTAGAGCGAAGGCGTATAAGCCTCTCTAGTCAACCGAATCCACCGACACAACTCTCATAGGCAGCACGCTTTAAACTTCTGTTAAAAATAGTTGCGCCTGTTCCCCAGGAGGAATTGATTGAGAGGCCGCTGCACAGTGTGGTCCCTTCTGTGTAAGGACCTGCACTGGTAGAATCTACAATTCAGTAAAAATAGCGTCACAACTAGCAGCACATGCTGTTGCCGCTGCCTTCTGCACATACATCTTGGCAGGCACAAATGTGCCCGCTGTACTGTGGGATATTACTCGTGTAGCAACCCCGCAGCAAATGGCGTCAAAATACGCGAAGTGGATAGGCCGCAACGACCGATTCGTGCTCTACATTAATTTGCTGCGACAATGCGACGAGGGTGCCCCAATCAGATCATGACCGAAAGCCAGCTCTGCCTCTGGCTGCCTTGGGATGGCCTTTTTTCATAAGCAAATAACGCCCGAAAACAGTCCTTTACAAGCTGCTCGAGCACAACAGCTCCATGTGCGGCTGCTGCTCATCTAGTTTTATCTTTTCTAATGTACAGGGTGTGCGACATAGTGGCACATTTCTGGCACCTAACGTTCCGCGGTGTGCCTAGATATCTACTGCATACACTTCCAACGGGCGTGAATGGGACACTGCATTGAGGCGGGATGCTTGGTCTGTATGCTCATAGCTCCTCCCTTTTGTTAACTCGAACGAAGTTCCTTCTCCCCGCTGGCCTCTGGCTCCTCTCGGGTGCGTCGTGGTGCTCCATGGAGGTCCACGCGCAGGCTACTGAGGTGGCGGAGATTCTGGGGATGCGTGTCTGGTCCGAGCAAAGTACTTTTAGCTCATTTGGGTCGCTGTTCATGGTTAGGGTGTGTCGCTTGACTATATATCTTTCGAAGATCCCTCGTCCTCTCCTGATGACTTATCTTTCCGGTGGGTTTTGGACTTAGTGCTGCTTCCACCGCTGGGAATTTCCTTGCTCTTACGAGCCTCGTGAACCTGCTTCCAGAAATTAAGCACCACTGGGGGTACATGCTTGTCTCCATAGTTGTTCCCTTTGTCGGAGTCCCTAAGCTGAATATCTTGAAGGCCTTGATCGCTGGAGGCACTGCCAGTGGAATCTTTGCTGCCTCTAGGAAGCCTCGCATCCTTTTTTAATTCATCCACCACCGTAGGTGGAATGCGCTGTACTTCACCCTCTGTACCTTGGTCGGACTTTGTAGATAGAGTGCTTGGATGACCTTGAGCGCTGGAGGCACTGTCACGGGGATCTGCGCTGCCTTCACGAGAGCCTGCACCTTCCTTATCCATATCCAACACCACATGGGGACTATGTTCGGTCTTAGCCCCGCTCTCTTTGTTAGAGTCCTTAGATGGAGTTTCTGAATAACCTCGAATGCTGGAGGCGCTCCCACCGGAAATACTGCTGCCCTTACGTAGGCCCACATCGTCTTTCCCCAACTCAAACACCATAAGAGAAGTATCCTTTTCCTTAAGCTCGCTCTGCTCGTCGGAGTCCTTGGAAGGAGTTCTTGGAAGATCTCGAGTGCTGAGGGAAGGGCTAGCCGGTGCGGTGGATGACTGGCTAGTGGATACCGTGAAGGACTCCTCCGAGGAAATGTTCAAGGCAACTTCGCTGCTAGCCAAACCGGATGAAAGATCGTCCTTTTTGAGCTTAGGATTTTTCGGCTTCCTTACAGTATTCTTTACTAGCTGTTTGAACTGCTCCCACTTCCCCTCCCCTTTTTTCTTCCCTGATGAAGTCCCATCCGGTGCAGCTCCTACTCCTGTAAGAGAAATTCGAGAGCCTACATTCAGTGACACATTTGAGTCGTGGATATTTTGGGTGCTGCCCATACTCCTTACCCCGGAAGCGTCATCCTTGGGCGTCGTCATGCCCAGCGCAGTAGACACAGGTCCATTGGGACAGGAGAGTCCAAGGCAAATGGCCACCAAGGCCCAGCTAAGGAGGATGAGAAGATTCGTCATGTTCAACAGTAAGGGATGGCAGAAAGGACGTCTGAGGATATGTGGTGAACTCTGTACGTACGAACGTCCTGTCTCCGCGAAAAGCCGCAGGTGACGGTTCAGGTAAGCCTACGAACGGAAGCGAAAATATTTCTTTATCGATCCCCCAGAAATCCCACACAAGCTGGGTGTCAGAGACGCCGAAATTGGAGCAGGTGAGTTGCCACAGACCACGGAGTCCGCCTCGTTGCAGAAAGCAGAGACACTGAAAAACAGAGGCCCACTAAATCAACCAAAAATTTACAGAATCTTAAAAAGCCGCAGACTAATTTAATGTAGCAGTGGACTGGCACTGCTGCGGCAGTTTTACGGCTCCCACACACGCTGTGGGGAGCAGCTTAGGCGGTCTCCGCGCCCGGAGGCCGGTCAGCTGGCTGCACATCATGGCTGTTGCCGCGGTCTCATGGAACCTCTGTCAATTGGACGAGTATGCGTTTGCATCACAATGTTTTTCTAGCTACCTTTCGCTTCGTCAAAATGGTCAGCCTGGGGCAAACATACCAAAACGAGGAATGAGGCCAAGTACTGTGAGGTTCAAAGCCGAGTCTTGGCAGGGGACCGTCCACACATTCTTCCCTCCAAGATTCCACTGTGGGGTTCATAGGCAGATACGCAACGAAAACCCCAAGACTTATATAGGAAAACTTCAAACACCGTCCCAACGAATAGAAATGACCTTCACTGCCCTCAACTCAGACGGCTCTAGCCTGCAGAAGGGCAGGAACGACAGCCCAGGTGCAGGTTGGTACGCCGCCTGAGCTGTCCCGGCAGTTCTACGCAGTTTGACGCACTTAAGGCATTGGAATACGACATTCATACTTGCTTTATGCGTATCATTTGAAGAAACAGCGTGTGAAATGCAAGTTTCTGCATACCTTCAAGGTACATGAAGCTAGAATTCAATGTAAACAAGCGTTTGTTCATTGCACTTGCAGCTTTGCCCACTACAAAATCAGTCCCTCTCCTCTAACGTAGAGGAAACAAAAATCAGATGGGTGAACCAGAAGCAAGAGCTAAAATATATGCGCTCGTGCCACCAAGACGATGGTATTCGCTGTTTCGTCATGGTAACGAAGCCAGTGACCCGTGCATCACGAGACAGCAGGGGACCAAACAGAATCTCTAAAGTGAGATTTTGGAGGAGAATCGCACGAGATTTGGGGATTTTCTGATATGCCTTGGGCCTACAGAGTTTCACCTTCCTCCGTAACTATCGTCAACTGTTAAGAGACACCTAATACAGGTGTCTGTCTCAAAGCTACTATCCCTACGGACAAGATCCCGCACTGACAGCCCATTCACAGAGAGTTCACATTTTTATCAAGGCAGGGGCCTACGCGTCGCTACGCAATCGGGGTATTGTCAACCGTCACAGTTCGCCACGACGATCAATTGTCATTCAAGTACGCACAGCCCTGCCACATACGCGGCTCGCCCCGATAACAATAAATGCCCACTAGATATAAAAACCAGTTCAGAGCCGATGGAGAGTACTATTTACTTTTGTATTCTATGTATTGGGGATCAAGTGCCTCTGTTTCATAGCCTCTGTATATTCAAGGGGTACTAGTCATACAAGTCTGAAACAGTCCTATTAAGTGAAATACAGGCAGCCTGTTTCCTCTGAATAGAAAAGAAGCAAAGGCGTATCGACTAAAAAGATATACCTGTTTTTTAGTTGCCCATTTCCACTACATGGCTAGTCAGCTGCTTGCTCGACGGCTAGTCGGTGGGTCGCATGCAGCCCCCAAAACACAGATTGCAATTTTGGTAACTATATTTGTGAAATATTGCATATTTATGTAATGTATACATTTATTAAGACGGAAACAAACTGCACCGCATTAGTCCACCGTTCCCTTGTGGCTCGCGCGTGTTTTTGTCGATTTTCTCCTTTAGTAATAGTCTCCGCATAGAGAATCACGTCACGAATAGTGCGCAGGCCCAAGAACGTAGAGTACGACATAGGTAGGCTTATTTAATACCGCAGAATGGGGTTCACAAATGAGGACCTAGATTTTGTGGCCATCTTCTGAGGACGTACGACATCCATCTACACAACAGATAACCAGTCATATTTAACCAGGAATATTGCAGCAAGCTAGCACACAGTCTTTGGTTTCGCAATCTAGATCGCTTTGTGGACGCGCGTAGAGACAGCTCTTGAGTTCTCAACCTAGTCTACGACACCCCTATTGTGGATACATATATATTTTTAGTACCATGGTAGGCTCAGCCGCAATAGTAGAAGCAAAACTGTCTCCAATCTCCAACTTTTCAACTTGGCAAAAATTTGGCCGCGCCTACACCCTAGTTGAGCCCGCTAAAAGTGTGAGCATATTGTAGCCTCAAGGACAACTTTCTACGAGAGCTCGCCCAGATGAAAACAAGAACTATAATATCCATGATTGACCAAGTT